ACCGAACACCATGGGGCATTCCCGTGGACTCGGAGGCATGGCGAAAAAGTCCCTGGGTCGACAAACGTATTTTATGCGCTCAAGGTCCTCAGACCTAGAGTTTGTTTGTAAGTGGCTGCAACGAAATCCGATTTCTTGCTGTCAGCCGACCAGTATCGCCAGGAAGTCGTTAAAACCCATATTCCGTCAATGTTTCATTTTTGAGGGGTTTGTCCCAGCCTGTGTTCGATGACTTTCATTGAGTGGGTCCCAGCAGGGTGGCGGTCCAGTCCATCAATTTATGTTCATGTTTTCAATCCGAATATCTCAATTGTGTTAAGTCATTACAGCACGAATCTACGAACTGATTACCAATAGGGGACGTGCCTGTTCTCCCCGATGCAAGTCGCCGTATGTCTCCACCGGGCACAGGGCCAAGCAAGCGTACTTGGTGTGCTGCCCATGGTTGCAAGAGCATCTTGGCCAGGAGCGTTTGCGTCAACCTGAAAGCAATGATAGAGAGTGGCTCAGCAAACTGCAAACTTCGAAAATTAAGAGCGCAAAATGGACTTACGTACATAGGAACAACGTCGTTTAGTTGATAGTTGAGCAGTCCTAATGTCCACAATTCTTATAACGGCGAGAATATCACCTTCTTTGAGCAGGAGTGCCACTCGGCATCGGTTGAGCTCATCGTCAGTATCCACATCTCATCTGTCGGTCCAGCAGGCGATGCATCTTCCACAAGCCCGCCAAACATGTACACGTTCGGACCCATGGCAGTGATGGTATGGCCTGATCTACCAGCCGGCCTATCGCGTTGACGGCCGCTGGCTTCCTTGATCGGAGCCCACGTGAGTTTCTGGCTCATGTTGCCAGTGGCCCAGGTTCCGATCAAACACTTAGGCTTGTTCCCCACCCCTGTCTCATGTAGGTATTCTTTTCCCTATCCACCTTCAGTTATCACCTTCGGTAGTATCATTCATCAACGCGCATGATATCCATTTCTCCTCTTCATCGTTTTGAAAATTCCCTCACAGGCTGCGGTACGTGCTGTTAGCTTTTACATATCTCGCCGCATGTCCGTTTCTGCCCGAATCGTTTTTGTTGCTCCTCGGCCATGTGTCTCGGAAAATCGGTTCCAAATAACTACGCCGCTTTGGGTGTAACGGGCAAACGCGAATGCGCCCGTACTCTTGGCGTTTAGTGAAGAAGACAAGCTCGGTAACGTTGGATGGGACTGTTTGAGAGATATGGTTTGGTGGATCGGGGAACATGAATAACGTATTCATTCCCAAAACAAAACGCCCACAGCCCCGACAGCCCCGTGATTTTTTTTAATCAAGTTGAAATCTCAACGTGATTCTATTTCAAGCGCGCGCACGCGACACGACGCTGTTGTTCCCCAGAATGCTGGACAAAGAGCGCTCCTGAGGAAACTTGTTTAATAGACAGCTTGACGGAGATTTCCGCTCGTGACTGCTGTTTCCATTGCAAAGTGGTGTGAAGGGAAGAGCGACAATCGGCATGAAAACGAACGCTGGTGTGCAACCCTCCTGACAACACCCCGTGGGAAGGATCGCAAACACCATTTCTATACAATTTATGTCAACGTCAATCACGTTAAATTTCCGAATAGGTGGGGCAACAAATAGCTTCGGATGGTGTTGGCAACAATATATATAGTTTATGTCACACGAGGGTTGGTTGGGCGAAGAACAGCGTAGTGACGGAATTGATGGCGAACACGTGAGACCTACGTGGGAACGCAGCTAGCTTACCTTGGGCAACCGTGCTACAATAATCCTCTCACCTACTTGTAAGAGATCTCGTAATCTCTTTTAAGGTGGTGGTGGTGTTGTTATGATGCGGGACGGTGCGAAATGGCGGTTTTGCCATGAAGAAAACGGGAAGCAAAGGCGGGCAACCATCGCCGAACTACATGTAATACGACCTACAGTAGCTACTTGTTGTCACGCCGTGCCTTTGATTGTAGCCTCGCTGCTGCTCGGTCCAATATAATAATGTGGTCTAATTGATTGGCGCTCACATCATTCGCTACAAATTGCAAAAGTGGGTCCACTTCACCGGGGTTTGAACCCCCAAACAAATCTGATCGAAAGGTTTCAAGACGAAGGAAACAGAGTACAGAACGCGCCACCACTTTGGAACCTCTTGTGTGGTAACCCTCGCGGCTCTGTCCTTTGAGTGATAACTAACAGAGAATTCCCACAGGTACACTTGGGGTGGTGCCAAAGTTGTTCAACTAGCAAGTTCTTGATTTGGCGCGTTCTGCATGCAATGCAACTGGTACCTGCCAGAATTTACCGCTTTGCATTTTGACATTGTGATAGCAACTCGATGAGTATCGTCGCGTTCCCTGTCTGAAGTTCCCAGTTTTTTAGCGGTTAATGATGTCGGGGCCAGTTCATTTATTTGAGTGTACCTTTGTAAGGGAAGTTAACCTATGACCACGGGAATCGACCGCGTCGAGTGTCGGATCAGATGTTGTTGTTGTCTTCACATTAAAAACCGTTCCGATCTCTCTCTACCCAGTACCTTCGTATGTCCGTGCTGATACAACACTCGACGCGGTCGATTCCCGTGGTCGCAGGCTAACTTACCCTAAAAAGGTACACTCAAATAAAATGGCCCCGAGGGGTCCGCAAGTCAATAGAAATCAACGACAGATATTCTGGAGTCCTCCACTCCCTCTGCGCGCTATGCGAGGTAACAACTGAGACCAGGAGTCACCATCACGGGCCGGAGAGAATGAGGAACACCTCGTTGGTTCAATCTTGGTACTTCATAACGCAAGCAGAGACAAGGCCATCTGGCACAGAAAAACAGAGACAAAGAGAACGAGAGAAAAAGAGAAGAAAATAAAAGGAAACAGTAAGGAAAGAGAAAATTGAATAAAAAGAGCGAGGACAAAAAGGGACCAGGCCGAAAACAACAAGAAATAGGAGACAGAAAAAGGCACACGGTGGAGAGACCACTAACGACAAGCAAACACGCAAACATGGCCACCAACCAGCGATACATTGCTATGGTACGTCATCACTAGTGGGAGGTTGGTGCAATGGTGCAGCGTTGGGGGGGGGGGAATTGGCTAAAAGAATTCAATCCGGCACGTATCGCGCCACTCGGTCCGTTTCTCCTCGTTTGCTTTCTTCCCTCGCCGTCTCGTCCGTCTCCTGCCCCCCTCCCGCCCCATTGGTTGGTGGCTTGTGGTTTCGTTTGAGCGCCCGTTGTCGGCTGGCCTCTTCTTCCTTCTCGTGCCAGGAGGTCATGAACCTCTCAGCTCCCTCCAGCACCGCCGCATGCCAGGACACTCCCCCCTCTACCTTCGCGGCTTCCGTCCACTTTAACTTCGGTGCCGTGTCTTTCGGTACCGGGATTCCGAGACAACATGGATCGGTTTTCGTAGATCCTTTGCATAATACCCGATACATCGTAGCATCATATCCAGCTGTGGAAGAATCGAAAGCAACCTGTTTTCTTAGTTGCGAAGCGGACCCTCTCTTTTGTGCCTCTCCCCAACTACGTTTGCGGATGGCGACATGGCGACACAGACAAACAAGTTCTAGGGTTTGACGTCGGTCTTATCCGCCGCAGGAGGTGGAAGCTACTCTAAGTCGGGGAGGAGTCGTGATCTGCAGTTCCCTACGGAACCGTACTTGAGGCGCCATGATATTTTCACTTCTTGCAAGGTTAGTAGTCGGCAGGAAAACACAAAAAACAGAATCTTCGGCGGACTGGACCCTCTTTCTTCAAGTGGCAAACTGTTGCTTGGATGGCGAGACAATTTCGGCCTTCTTGTCCGTCACAGGACGCGGAAGCTGATGCTCAAACTCGGGGAGGGGTCATGGTTTTCGGTTCCCTACCGAACCATACTCACTCTGGACACCACGTCATGGACATGGCAGGAAAAACATACCCCCAACGAAAACTGCTGAAATTAATGGGTGGGTGGGTGTGCGGACGCCAAAACAACGAAACAGTCGCGGTTGGGGTTGTTCTGGGGGCCCCACCGGCGAAAACCCACCGTCGCTACTCTGAACCGGTAGAAGCTGTCACATACATGGCACTGACACTGCATGCAGCGAATAGGGGCCTTAACGGAAAGAGGCGGCGCCCATCGCCTCACATGCAGCAGCCGGGTACACGGCAAGCCTCCTACTCCGCAACAGAAAAACGATTGCTTCGTTGACGTTCGATGTTGTTGGGACCCTAACGACGAAATGCGACATAGAGAAAAGAGAGGTAGACAGAAGGAAGAGAGACTCGAGAAGACAAGGCATGAACTCTCGAGAAGGCACTCACTCTCATCTCTCTAGCACACCGCAGGCTTAAAGACGTGTAATGAACGGCGACGTCCGATGTGCGCTCAGCAACAACAAACACAACAAAACAAAATAGCCGTCTTTTCCGAAATGTGGAGACTTTCTTTTTTTCCTGGTTTGAAGTGGCAACAAAGCAGAACACGATTATCTGCAGACTAGAAGCACGACGGGCGAACTATTATCTCAATGCGCTTGCCGTCGCGATAGATGCGCACTGCTACCGCAACACGAACGAGCAGACTGTTGTCAAACCTGACCACGATAACCTTACGACCATTGCAGCACATTACGAGCATAATAGCAGCAACTGCGGCAGCAGTCGCCGCAGGTGCACAACGGTCACTCAAGAACAAACGCAAAAAAAAAAAATGTGGCGCGCAGCACGCAGGACCCTCTTTTGCGTTCAACCGGCCGTTTCCATTGCGAAACCGGCAAGGAACAGTCAAGGCCCACTCTTGCCGGCCATAGGAGGCGGAAGCTGCTCAAACTCGTGGACGGCTCATGGTTTGCGATTCCACATCGAACCATACTCGAGGCGCCGCGAGATTTGCACTGTAGCTCGAGATCAGCATTTAAAACCGGGTTGGGCAAGGGGTGGGGGATGCGAATGAAAGTTCCACCCACCCACGGATATAGAACGGTGAGATTGAAGCTAAAGCTTCAGAACTTATTTGTCGATTTGATATAGTGAGGCAGTCGCCAGCACAGCTTTTCACTGAGTCAAGGTTAGACCTCCCTTCGCACAGGGGGAGGCAACATCGTTCATCTAGACAAGGCAAGGATAAAGGGAAGACACCTAACCTACAGGAAGCCCCGGAACTAAGTAATCACATGAACGAAGACACGAAGACTTTTACACGATTGGTGTGCAGCTTCTAGCTGTTAGGATCTCTTGAAGACTTGACACCCTCCGTGCTCGTGTGCAATGAGTCACTCTTTTGGAATTCCATCTCCATCAGACGCATATGAAGAGCCGCAATCTCTTCTCCAGCTGCCTTAGCATTTGTAACCATCTGCGGGAGAGTGCACGAAAGCAAAGCGTGAGGATATCATCATGGTGTCCGGTACATAAATACCAATACCTTGCTTGATTCCACAACTGCCTAATAACGTCCGAGGAAGCTTCGTATAAAAAAACAAGGGCAGAACCATATAACAACCAAGAAGTTGCTGATCACATCTAAGCCTCACGGACATTTCATGTGTAGTCGTCGTGTCTACCTGCTCTTCAAGGATGCGGATCTTGGTGTCTTTCATTTTCAGCATCACGCCAGCATCGTCACAGGCTTGGCCCTGGACATCGATGGTGCTCTTGGTCCCTGCCATCGCGAGCCTCCATCGTAGTGATGCGTTCTCTTGCCTCAGTCTTTCGACCTATTGAGAACAGCACAGGGAAATACGACGTCGGAGCCCTACGCCATTGGCCACTTAGAACATGAGAAACAGCGCACGGACAAGTTTAACGCCAGGTATCGTGTTCGAACCATAGCACACCCCTGTCCAATTCTGGTTTAGTCTCCCCACTTGAGAACATGAGAAACAGCGCACGGACAAGTTTAACGCCAGGTATCGTGTTCGAACCATAGCACACCCCTGTCCAATTCTGGTTTAGTCTCCCCACTTGAGAACATGAGAAACAGCGCACGGACAAGTTTAACGCCAGGTATCGTGTTCGAACCATAGCACACCCCTGTCCAATTCTGGTTTAGTCTCCCCACTTGAGAACATGAGAAACAGCGCACGGACAAGTTTAACGCCAGGTATCGTGTTCGAACCATAGCACACCCCTGTCCAATTCTGGTTTTAGTCTCCCCACCTCGGGGCCTTTGCCGCTCCTTTTCGTCTCCGTAGAGGGATCCTCCCCGTCACTAGTATCCCACCGTTCGTTCCACCGTATCGTTCAGCAGGCACACATGGGAAGAGTTTGTAAAACATGATGCATTTGTAGCTTGTTGAAAACCCATGTCGAGCCCCAACAAGCATGAAAGAGTGCTTTTCAAGCGCAGTTGTTTCTTTTGAACTGGCGGAGAAAGTTGCGAAACGTTGTGGGCACCGTGAAACTCGAGAGCACCAAACATCGATTGCTGCACCATCACGCAGTGCAACTCACTCAGTGCTTCCACTGTTCACAGCTCGGCGCCCGGCGATGAGCATCTCCAGCTTTGCAATTACTTTCTCTTGCATAGCAACAGTCGACTTGTAGGCTGACACCTAGGAAATAACATTGAATAAGAAGGTGCGGTAATTTGGTGCTACGGGGGAGTAGAACGGGGATGATTGGTGATCCGTTTTTTACCAATCGAAAGAGAAAGCTGGCCGCCGTGTTTGGAAAAAATATTCAGATATTGACTATACTTGACAAAGGGGGTATCAGGCGCACAACACCTGGATTCAGGGCGAAGCAGGGTGAATTTCAGGCTCATATAAGCGAAGCTTGATTAAAGACCAGGACGAACCACCTTGCAATACAAACAACGCGATGGTCATGTTGTGCTCATGCGCAGTACAATTGAGGGACGGGGCAGATCTCGCTGTCTCTCAGCCAAGCTTGTCGTCCGGGAACGTTGCCCCTGACGTTAAATCTGATGTCTGGAACGGGGAACACATAACTCAATTGCTAAAGAACGAGAAACAATCATCTCGCAGAAAACACGAAGCTGTTCGTATGTCGAATGTGTGCCATAAAGGACGTGCCCTCACCTTTCCCGGAAGTGCCTGCATCTTGCGTATGTAAACCGCCTGCACGTGCTGAGTCTTTTTCATTTTCTCCATCTCTGACTGCTTGTGGTCGAAACCGAAGGTGTAGCACGCGAGCAATTGCGTAGTTTGTTCGAATCAGTCATTTTTCCAAGTTGCGTCAAATTGAAGCGTTGTCTTCGTGCTTCAACAGTACACCTGTCGATGACGTGTACCCAAAAACAGTTAAGCTGCTCATATATACACCCTACCTTTAGCACTGCTGTTTGCCATTGCTCGTGCGCACAATCCTGCGCAACCCTGCGTAGCGTCTGTAGGTTCACGAGCGAGATAACCGAGACAAAACCGATGCAACGGATTCAAGAACATTTGGTTCAGAAAGTAGTACAGGAGGCCACCAGAGAGTACGTTGATCGAGAGAGCATTGTCGTTGTGTCTACCGTCATCGCGCAGCGTTTCTAGGATGGCACGGTCTCCAGAGCTGGCGATGCCACGTTGACAACAAAAATGCACATACCACAGCTATCGTTCATTAAAAAACTCATGGACGCGTACACGTGTTTCGACATCGAAACGATGGGGGTCTAGCGCGGCATGCATTCAAACTCGCCACGGCTGTGCCAGAACTCGTTTAGATTGCGGGCCGTAAACTACGATGCCACGCCTACTTTTCTTTTGGTAACACTAATACACGCTGAATGGTGGTAGAAGGATGCCTGGAAAGTCTCACTCGATTCTCTTCTGTCAGCACTATGCACCGCTTCGCTAAAGCACGTGTGTGGCGTCCGCCCGTGTCTCCATGAAGCGCTCGGGCAGGATCTTCGTCCTCCATAGCCTTCATCACCCGGTTGGCCTCCTAAACAAAGCGTGAGTGGTTGAGTTCGTATCACTGAGGTTGGTTGCTATGTAATGATAGAGGTCACCCGTGAATAGGGCTTCAATCCATTTCATCGTGCATTCCCAGGCACAATACCGAGTTTCGCATTACCAGCCACCTTGCCCCCACTGGGTTGAGCCTCGTGCATAGAATAGCCGCTCCAGCCGTCATGCTTGTAGCATGAAAGCTCCGACGGTTTTCTCAGAGGCATAAGAGAAATACTACAGCCAACAGATAGCACTACGTGTTAAAACGCTTGTGGGGCCAATGAGTCATGATCGCGGCCGCACATGACGTCAGGAAGTCTCGCCTGGCCTGCCGAACTAGTCTTTGCCACGGAATCACGATGCAAGGAAAAAGATCTTCATCAAGCGAATAGGGTGCGATATCTCACCATTTCAGCCTCCGCCGTAGTCTTGCGCAGAGATTTCAGTTGCAAGCGAAGGCGGCAGCGTTCTTGATCGACGTCCTCGATGTACTTCCTGAGCTTCAAAATCTCCGCACCGCATTTTCTAATTGCATCAGAGCGCTTCTCCACTTGCTGCGAAGTAGTTGTGCCACACGAGAAACGAGAGGTGGACATTCCGATGTTCCACACCACTCAATTCAGAGGGTCGCAGCGCAAGCTCCTTATTGGAACTGTGCCTGCATGTGCATGAGTGCCGTCTTTGCTTCTGGGGGCATATATTGAAAATGCCCACGCCTCACCTCGGAAAGGTTGTTCACTACACTTTGTTTCCGATCTGCTTCGGCATACACGGCTCGCAGTTGACCTCGAACAGCCTCGACTTGGGACCTCAACTCGTTCTCCGCTTCGGCATGCTTTTCAGTTGATCTAGACAGCAGTATTATATCCAGCAAGCGATCAAATGATATCGTGGAGGTGTCACGCAACTGCTCGTTTGAGCGTTTGAAGAAGCAATCTGAAGGGCTACGGAAAATGATAGACACCGGGTGCTGCTCCGAAGTGAAATACAAAAAAACTGACTCTGGAAATTGTCCTTCTGGATTCCGAACACACGTGAAACTTTGTGGACAATGTCAACAAAGGGTCTGTAAGTAGAGCGCGATTGCCCCCCCCCCACGGGTGAATGCAATACGTAACCAACGATAGACCGGTTTCTCACTTTCGCCTGTCTTTGGATTTCTTCGGTGAACTCCGTCGGCCCTCGATCGCTGTGGCATGCAACTCCGGCTGTGATTCTGACTGCGACTCTGACTGCGACTGCGACTCCGACTGCGACTCTGACCCCTCCGTATTACGAGTATCCAAATCGTCGTTGTCATCCTGCATGGGGGGTCCGTTAGACGCATTCCCACGGCGCCAATTGACCAACGGCGGGCAACAAACGCATTGTTAGAAGAACATAATTGTTGTTGATCCGCAAGAGTGATAAGAGGCGGGATTCTCCTTCCGATGGACCCTGACGCCGAGCACACCGCTCGCAACCAGCGGCGAGGACGATCCATCTGTCCATGCCCCTTCGCATTCAAAGCTATCACTCGCTTATACTCAGCGAATCCGCAGGATGAAATTTTGCTGACTCAACACAAGAAACCTTCGTCTGTTCTCACGTAGGGCACCTCCGGAGAAGACCTTATAGCCTCAACCTCGACACGTCGTTTGTGGTTGTCGTGCATATTTGAAGGGTGGCAGACAACGGAGAACTACCGCAACTCACATCTTTCCCCACAGAGGATGCATCACTTCCTCGGGGAGATTGTGGAGGGGGACCAGAAGCCTTGATATCGACAACGCACACCACATCTTCCAGAACACTACCCTCCGGCGAAGTGACAACTGCCGAGAGCTCCGCCCCTCCGTCAGATAATCGTACATGATCCGGAATGTCCAGCACAGCATACCCCAGCGCTGTTGAACTCTGGGACGATGCTTCTACAAAAAAGAAGGTTATCAGGAAGGACACCTGTTGGCATTTCAGCACGCAACACATCGCAAAGGCAGCAATAGCGCAAAAAGCTTGATCCCTCTCTCGGGGAGCGGGAAGGCAGCGAGGGTCCGAGCATTGCTTTGTACTCCCTGGGCGACGAGGAGAAAAAACAACAAATATTGTAGCCCTTACGAGCTATAAGGTGCGTGCATTCGCAATGGGTACCACGGACCTGGCACACACTCCATTCTGTTCCCTTGCCGTAAAGCTGTCGTGGATAAGCTCGTGTATGAGCCATGAAGGTCTTCTTGACTCTGGGTCCAATAGGAAAAGTGACACATTCAATCCAAGCCACCCTGTTTGGGCCAAACATGAGGTGAACAAAGAGGTACAAGCGAGTGTACCTTGTGAACAGCAGTTGCTTCTGGATCGAATTCGCAGCTTGCGAGCACCAGTTGCGACTGTGGTACATATGGCAAGGTGTATAGCCTCCCAGCACAACCTAACACAATGTTGTTTAATATAGAGCGTATTATAGTCACCAAAGCTCACGAAAATTTCATCCACCTGCACGATCAATGCAGCTCTGTGGGACCACAACAACAAATGTGGGGATGATGAGCTCACTGGTCTTCCACGATGGTTACAGGAACAGTATTCCTGAGGTAGTTGTTGCCCTCATTGCGATCCGAGCCTGGGGCGTCTAGCTCGATGACGTTTTCACCGGCAGCATCACAGCGTAGCATTGGCGGCTCTTTCTTCTTGGACGCTTGGAGCAAAACGTTGCTCTCAGTCCCCTGTCATAGTAGGAGGCAAGCAAGCAACGAAGTGCGACCAAAGTCGGTCGAGCATATAAAAAGCTTGAGAATGTGATTCAATATTGAACGTCAAGAGTACTACAGCACAAACAAGGTGTAACTCTGTCGAGAAAGTTTGAGCTGCTGGCGTCGAAGAGGAGGGGATTAAACTGCCCCACCTTTGGAATGCATTGGATAAAAGACTTGACACCGGCTCCAGCTTCTCTGCGAACTCCTGGTAAAGGCATGCCTTCGGGGAAAGTTAGCAAAAGTGCCTCCAGATGGAGCAGATGGTCGATCTTGACCACTGGATCCTCAAGCGCGACAACGACCGACACCCGAAGCCGAACATCGCGTCCCATGTGCACCTGCGATACACGCGGAACCACCGCCCGCCCCAAGTGAGCATATGTACGCGCGTTGTCGTAACTGATCCCAGATGGACCTCACTTACCGCGAACGCGTCGAGATCCAAAACCAATGCAACACTATTGGTGGTTTCTCGTGTCTCACTTCCAAATGGTAACCATTCCAGGGGACGATGTCGCCAAGCTGGAAGGTGCATGCATGAAGTCCTCCTTCTCGCAAAGTCGCGTCTACGACACCCAGCCGCAGCCTACTCGACCGGGCCTCGCCCACATCAACTGGGATAGTGAGTTCCTCGTTCCAAACGCCCACCCTGTCCAAAAATGAGGAGGAACAAACTGAACGTTAGGTTAAAACGTGCATATTGCGTCCCCAAAGCCAAGAACTAAAAAAACCCAGTGCGAAAACGTATCGAACCCCAATAGCTCGTTGTTGGAAAGATATTCATCACACGTAGACAAAAATAACACATCCAATGGTTTATGCTGGTTGCAATCGATACGAAAAATCAAACGCTTTGCTTTGCGTACTCGCGACCACCGCCGTTCACGTGGAATTTCGATACACCTGACTGATTACCCATCAACGTCGTCGGTGTTGGTGTACATCGACGATCGAGATCACCGGGGACACGGTCACTCGGTCCCACACTGTCATCACCACCATGGGAATTGCGCTCATTGTACACCCTAGGGTCTATGTGACGATCAGCGCGTCAACGATTGTCATGCAGAAGAGTGCAGCAAGGCCACACCCCAGGGAGGGTGATATTTGGGGTGTAATTCCAGGCAATCCAACTTTTTGTACCGAACATTGAATCACCATGCCAACCTTGAAGGCTTCGTCCGATATGGTTCCTCGTCCGATTGTTCCTGGTCTTGCTTTAGGATCTGCACACGGCAGCATGCCGAGAAGGAGAGGGAGAGAGAGCGAGGGAAAGAGGGTAAATGAGACAGAGACCCCGACCTCGGAGAAGACAGATAGCAGAGCGAGCGACGGTGTCCACGGTCCACGGCTTCAATGGACAAGGATGCGGAAGGAAGAGCCTGCAGGGAACAGAGAGATTTACGCATATCTGTCATATCTGCTACACATTCATGGGCCCAAGCCCAACTACAACAAAGAACCTAACATATCTAGTCTCCTGTAGACATTGAAATGGTAGAGACGACATTCCCACCTTCGCCTCGACGACCCAGCTGGAAGCGTCAGTGCCCGTGGCACCGCGTGGAAGCGGACTAGCCGACAAAATACCCACCCGCACACACGGATCCACTTCTCCCTTCATATCGCCATTCCTGGGCTATCAGGAGATGGAAGATGTCGAAACCTGCTATCTGCTTTCTCCTGTCGCATGCATAGCATTTGTAAAGAGCAACCCATCGGCCCGCACGCTCTAATTGTCCCGAAAGGATACATGTTTCCAGACACCGAAACGGTTCAGACATGTAGCGATGTAGCGATCACAATCTATCTGGATATAGCTTGTAGAATTAATGGAGACCCAGCATTTAAAGCTAGGAAGAACGACCCTCCGAAGCGTCCCGACAACCATCAAACTCGGGAGACCTTGCTTGATGGAACTATAAACCCTCTGAACTCCTTGCCTAACGGAGGAACTTTGTCTGTCCTCGATACCACTACGAAAGGGTTACAAGAGAGGGAGGCGTATAGTTTATTATATTTTTAGAGAAAAAAAAGTACCTGCAGTAGGCTTGTGCGTTGTTGTTAGATACATTATTACCATTGGCTTATATGCCACACAGCAGCAGCAGTGTTGAGCTGTGGGGGGGTCATTTAATACAGAGAGGGGGGTGTTCATCATCATAATGAATGAACATCATCATGAGATTGCCGCCCGAACCTCATAAATGCGGCCAATAGCTAATAACAGCAGTAGCAAGGGCACACCCGCTCACGCCTCGCTCTCGCCCAAACTCTCGCTGTGGTGTGTGTCTCCCTCCTCCCCGGTCCTTGGCCATGTCTGGCTGGCACCGGGGGATTCTGATGCAGTCTTTAACGTGCTTTTTTCCGCATTTACACATCATGCACACGATCCCTTTACATCATTTTATTTTTGCAAAACAAAAAGCGGACCCCTAGTCTACACACCCTGCTTCTCGCAAAAAAAAACTATTACTTCGAAGTACAATATAACGCCACTTCGGCATGAAGGTCCGTCAGTCACATGGCCTACGGAACGACTTAACTCGTTATTGGCGTCGACAAATATATTTGAGCGGAAGTCGTCAAGATGGGTCTGTTTTATGTTACTGTATCGACCCTGCCGGCCGGCTTTCCAATGAAAAAACGTTCAGTCTTCTTGCAGATGGACAAATGAAGCACGTGTACACTAGTTTACACACAGTTTAAGTTTAAGTTTAAGTTTACAGTTTAGTTTAGCCACCTATTGTTTTGTGCTCCGAGAAGTTACACAGGGAGGGTTCGTGACGACAAAAAAAATAGTGATGTGAGGGCCGGGTTGTGGCAATATGTATGATCGAAAATTATTGCTTCACCCGCGGGGTTCTACACAAGAACGCGGCAACGCACTCTGCTGTGGTTCAATTTTTGGTCCGGGGCTCTGTTCTATTTTCTTTATTTCTTTACGTTGAGTGGGGTTCGACTTCTTTTGTGGTGGCACGTATTGGTACGCGCGTGTTGTACAACAATCGAAATCGAAAAAGCGCGCTTTGGGCATCGCCCAGGGGGAACCGATAACGTACCCAGTAGTGGGCCCTGTACGTTGAAAGTGCCGGTCGAATAGTGCTGGGTGCCTGGCATTGTGCCAGTGGTTTGGCTCGCGCTCACGGAAATAATACAAGCCTCTCTTTACTTCGAACAGCAGTGCGTGCCGGTGTCCGGTATAGTGCCGGTATATCTCTGGACACATACGGCACTACAGGGCCTACTACTGTACATAGTTTCCCTGTGACACGTTCACTCTTGAGTCGTTTTGTGTGTGAGAGGCATCGACGGCGCTAGCCCGACAACCTTCAAGGGTTAGGTTTGCCACACAGTCTTCATGTCGATAACAATCGTCTCTTCCATGAGTGCTTGTCATTTCCAGTCCATCACGTTCACCGCCAAAAAAATTACCAGTAGGGTTCACATAGTCTAGTCTAATCCCTTTGCTTGATAGCAATTTCATGTGAAAGGTAACAATGGAATCGGCGGGATGAACCACACTGGGCACCGGGTGAATCTTCTGCATCGTCCAGTAACCCTGTGTAATCAACAGGCGTCAGATCAGCTTCCCAGAATTATCTGGACTCGTGCCCTTTCTGTTCGGTACTGCCAAAGGGCGCGCTGCTGTTTCAATTCTGCTGAGCATAAGTCCATACAACCCGTGTACGAAGTACGACTCCACACTTAATCTGACTTTGTCTCGCTTTTGACGTCGCCTACGCCAAAAAACCTCGGGGCGGGTGCTCCTCCACGCGAATCCACACGGATAGAAAAACGGGAGGCGCCTTTTCATGTGGGAAGCACTTTGCGGGGCGGGTTTGCGCTCCAAAATCAGACGGCTTGCAGAAGCTGCTGAAACACACGACACATCAACCATTAACACGCAGAGACAACTTTCTCTCGTTCAATTTCACGCAATTGGAGAAAAACATAGCGACCTCTAGAACCCTCGGCCAACGCGAGCGCGCTTGGTAGAGCTGCTTCCTCCGCCCTTGATGAGCTTCCCGCCGAGTTTCACTTGTTGGTTGATGGTCGCTTGTTGCTCCTCTAACCAAGTGAGATTGTCGCGAAGACGGCGTTTCCTGAAGTGCGGAGGATTTTGGCTCATTATCAAGATACGTCGCTGCAAAAATGATACGTTCGTACAAGTACCCTGTTTCGAACTTGATTCGAAAATCCATCCGGTACGACGGCAAACGTTTCACAACCAAAGGTTCTTGGGGATGTTCATCTTTATTGTTCCCACCTCAGGCAATTTCCAATTCTAGTACACTCCAGAAGGGAGAAAAAGGACTCAACACTGCCAAGTTACCGCACGCTAATACCGTTTGGGCAGAGCAAGTAGCGAGATACGTTCTCACACCCTGCCTGGTACAGAAGATCTCTTGTCTCCATTCCGCCGAAAGACTGCGTGCAACAGATGCTGGTATGAACTGTATTTCTGGCAATTGAACTATGACGTTGTCGGTGCATGCACCTGGTCCTTTCTTGCTCTGCTGTTTTGTCGGCCTTGGCGTGCTCTAAGAAGACAGCGTCCCGCTTGAGTTCTCGCATGGCCCCCTTACGTTCCCGCTTCACTTGACGCTGGAGCTGCTTAAACTTGGTCTGTTCAGTATCCTGTTTTTGGCGAGCAATGCAAAAAAGTTTGAGCCCAACAAACCGGGGGGCGTTTTTGACACGCCCAACATGTTTCCACACGCAAGGCTTCCTGTTACCACAGTTCGGCTTGGGGTACCGTACATCGACTATCTGCTACCACAGATCTGCTGGACATACATTGGCCCTCCTTCGTTGGACCCAAAAGTTCAGAGCTAAGTGAGATAGCCAAGCGCAAGAAATATATGTGTGGTTAGAGAGACAGGCACAGCTGCATCAATCGAGAGGGTGGGCGTGGTCATGCAGACCCAACTACGCACAAAGTCATCAATAATAATACCTTGTGGCCATCCTTCTTCATCTTGTAGCCTTCTTGAAACTTTGGCGCCAGTGCCTCCAAAACCGGTGGTTCTACAGCCCGCCATTGAAGTGGGCTTCGCGTCGACGCACACTTTGGAAGTGACCAAAGATTGTGGGCGAGAACGATGTACGATGTAGTTTGAGGAGCAGCATTCAGTTAGTTGCACGTGGAAGCTGGTGACCAACATCAAAAGCACCAAAGTGTCGCAGAAGCAACTGGCGCCCAATACAAGAATGCAAGCACACGCGGGCCCCGACAATCTCAGCACTCATCAACGTGTGCATGGGCTTACAAAAGATGTTCGACTTGAAAGTGGTGAACTTTTCGTGACTTTCGCGCAATCTCCCAATTCCTCTCAAGTCATCGACTCATGTCACGGCAGATACCTTCTGTGTGGCCGTGGAGAGCTGCTGTGACAGATGTACGTGGAGCTTTTGCAGCGAAAGCGGTAGCGCAGGATTCGCTTCCGGCTGGATCTGTAGGAACATCAGCACAAGAGCAGCAAGTCTAGAAATCGCGGTAGCCGGGGTGGATCGCATTTAAACAACTGTTCGCAAAGTCAATGAAAGCCTTAGGAGCAGGATATAGTCGAGCAACAAGTTGTGCACCTTCGGTCTGCCACGTTCAGGGGAACCGCGGACAATACCTTCGAAAGCACGCTTTGCAGCGGAGCAAAGAGCTCGGGAAACGCCACGTTTTCGCTCAGAGCGTGGGCTACTTGAATCACCAGCTGATATAGCGCCCCCAACATTGCCGCCGCATACGTCTGACGATCTGGCAGTGTTAATCCCTGGGGGAAGGAGCATAGAAACCAACAGAGAAGCGAGACAGCGCGATTGAACGATACAACGTGGTAGCCTCGGTGGAAAATGGGAACGAATTTCACGCTTCCTCACGCGAAAACCACGACACGGCACATACGTGAGTGGAAAAGGAGAGGCAGGCACACAAGCAATAAAATATGGCCATACATGATCTGGGAGGACCCTTCTGATCTGACATCACCATACGAACCCAAAACAACAATACCCCAAAATGTACCTCTACCACGCCCATGCTGAAGGCGGGAATGTCCTTGCTGGCGCACGACCCTGCCGCTGCACGCAGCCACCCGAACGGTGAGTGTTTGAACGCCGGAGAGAGCCCCGCCTGCAGAAAACGAGGTTCACCAGCCGTATTATAAGGGGTGATCCACTCGGACAACGCCGGATTCAGAGCACCAAAGGAGAGCACCACACGTGATGCTGACATCATCTTGCCTGCTTTCCAGCGCCATTCGCAAGAGTGGGCCAGAAAATTGAGGCAGGTGTCGGGGCATCCCAACCAGAGGTATAATGGCTCATCGTTCCAGGCATTGCTGTTCTCAGCTTGTGCCCCAACAAATTTTCAGGGGAATTCTGTAACCCTTCACAAAAGCAAGACCTCTAAAATATCTTGCCAAGGATCACCTGTGTGCTTGGACTCAAAGTGAAGTGTGACAAAGCAGATGTAAGGAAGACCATGACCTCTGGGGAGAGGCGCTTAGCGCCTAGGCAGCAGTGTAGCACCAAGGAGCAGCAGAAAACACCTGGAATCACCCCGAGACGAAACCCTCGGTAAGGATTGAAGACCCTCGGCAGGGATTCCACACATGTGCCACGATTTGCAGCACTGGTCGTGGGGGAGAGCATGTAGCAATTCGAGATGCTCAATGGCT